CTTGTGTTCCCTCTCTCACTGTGTCTCTCTCTGTCAAATAAATAAATAAAATATTAAAAAAAATAAAAAAATAAAAAAAAATAAAGTGACTAACAGAGGCATCCCAAACAATGCAGAATCTTGATTCGCCAGGACATCTGTGAGAACCTCTGGGACCACAGAAAAGCAGGTTTGCCCTCAAGCAGTGGCTGCCTCTTAGACCAAACAAGTGTGCCCGGTTGTTCACGGCCCCCTCCCCGAAGCAAACGTGGGTCTCTGCCCTGGTGTGCGGTTTATCACCCGTGCCTGCTCCTCCAGGGGGCAGAGGGCAGTGGGACTCACCCAGGAGGCCCTGGCGGGAACAGGGCTGAGGGCACCTGGGGCAGGGATCAGCATGGGGCTCAACTTGAAGCCCTGCTTACCTCGTAGTCTTGCTCCCCAGCCCCTGCAGCCGAGCTGCCCACCAGCACCTCCACGAAAGCCGAGCCGTCATTGCCGATGTCCACGCTGTGTATCTGTTCCTCCTTCTCCAGCTGTGGGAGGGGAAAGCCCACCGTCAGGGCCTGCTCTGCCCCTGGCCTCACTGTGGGCCCTCGGGAGAGGTCTGACCCCCAGCCGGGCTGCCACGTCCCCTCGCAATGTCAGCTCTGTGACAGTGGGAGCCAGGGTAAGGGGTGTCACCGCGTCCCCCGCGTGTAGCACAGGGCATGGCCCAGAGGTTGGAGCTCAGGAGATCTTCCCTGGATGAATGCCTGAGCCCCCATGCTTGCCTCCCCAACACCTCCAGACTCCGCCAGATCGGTGTGGAACCTGCTGCCATGGAGCTCTCCGTGGTAGCACCTGCCAGGGTTCCAACTTCATTCAAATAATCATGCACACAAATGGCACATCTGTCCCCTCTCCCCCCAGTCACACAGGACTCTGAGGAAGCTCCCCCCAGGTAGGGGCCTGGTGTGGTTTTGCTCACCATGGCTTCCTGGGTTTGAATCCCAGCTCTGCCATACACTAGCGAAATGGCCTTGTCAGCCAGTCTCTTGGAGCCTCAGTATCCTCATCTGTAAAATGGGGATAATCACCAAATCCAGGAGTATACACACGAATACTATGGCCACACTACACAGCATGTAGTAGACACTCTGCCCCGGTCAATCAGGAGGCACTGTTAGTCAATGCTCCATAACTACTTTCTAAAGGAAGGAAAGAGCTATCTATGTGGAGGAAGGCTCCCCGACAAAGGGTCTGCCATTCCCGTCTTGACAGTTAAAGGCACAGAAAGCCATGTGGGGGTGGAAGGCAGTTAGGAACGGATGATGCAAGTCGGCTCTCCAGTTCGGGGCTCTTCTCTTTGGCTTCTAGAATGACAAGTTATTACAGCACTCAAAGGTACCTAGTCCACCGCCCCCAGGAGCATCCGATGCTCCAGTTGGCCCTGTCACTCGCCCAGACTTCGCCTACGTGCCGCCACAAACAGAGACATCCCTACAGGGGAGGAAGGAGCCTGGACTTGGGGTGAGGCGAGCCTGGGTTCAAATCCAGCCCTGCCATTTCTAAGCTGAGCAAGCCCGGGGGCCGTGCAACCTCTCTGAGCGGCGGTTTTCTTCCGTGTGGGATGGGCGGGCTGTCCTTATAACCCTCCTCCTGAAAGGAGCTGAGATGACTCACGAAAATAACAGCCACAGTAACACCTGCAGCGAACACTGAAGTGCTCATGTCGTACCGGACACGCAATACGTGCATCCCCTCTCCTCACAATGGCTCACTTAACACACGAGCGAACAAAGGCAGGAAGCGGTTATGTAACTTCCCCAAGGTCACACAGCTGGTGAGTAGCAGAGCCGGGCCTGCAGCCCAGGGAGGCTGGCTCGAGTCCACGCGTGCTCCTCCACCCCATCACGGGCACGCTGGAGAAGGAGGCGGTGCTGAGGGAAGGGGCTTCCCATGGCAGAGCCAAGCTGGCCTCCTGACGGCTCCCTCTGCCTCCACAGCTCTGAGCCCTGGGACGGTGTGCGGTGCTGCCCAGGTACACAGGTCCTAGTCTGACTTCTCAGCCTCCTGCCATACTTGATGGCTCCCCTCCAGCCACGCCAGCCTTCCTTCCGTCCCAAGAGCACAATGGCTCCTTTCCACCACAGGGCCTTTGCACCTGCCATCCCCCCTGCCTAAACCACTCTTATTTTTCTTCAGTTATCACCACTCAATTATGTAACTACACTTTTTATTTGCATCTGTCTGGCATCTGTTTCCCCCACCAGACTTCTAAGCTCCATGAAGGCAGAGACAGTATCTAAGTCATTCCCCACTGTGTTGTGAATGCTGAACAGTGTTTGGTCCTTCCCAGCTCTGCATACTTAGTCTGTGTGACCCTGGAGCAAAGAGTTTCATTTCACCCCTTGTGTCTCAGTTTCCTAACCTATAAAAGGGGCACAGTGACAACTTTGAACTCAGAGAGTCGTTGTGAAGATTCAAATGAGGGATACATAACAAGCCCCTGGAATAGTGCCTGCCATAGAGCAAACGCTCCTAAATGTCAGCGGACACTGTTCCCACAGGAACTTCAATACGTTCCTGATGGATGGATGGACAGATGGACGGGAAGCGCCTAGTAACCATTTGCTGAAGGAACCAATGCCCCGAGTTGTAACTCGGGCTCTGCCCTTCCTGACCAAGTGGCTTTGGTGAGGCACTTGCCTCAGTGTCCCCATCCTGTCACAAAGGAATCATCGTGGCCAACACTTTCAGATTCTCACTGTGTGCCAGGGGCCTGGTGTATTCGTGTCCCACTGCTGCTGTAACAGATGACCGCAAACTCACTGGCTAACAACAATACCTCTTATAGATCTGGAGGTCAGAAGCCTGAAACTTGGTCTCACAGGGTTTCAATCCAGGTGTCAGCGGGGCTGCATTCCTTCTGGAGGTTCTAGGGGAGAATCTGTTTCCTTGCCCTATTTCCAGCTTCTAGAAGCCACATGTGTTCCTCAGCTTGTGGCCACTTCCTCTGCCTCCGAAGCCGGCGACGGCATCACTCCGGCCTCTGTTTCCCTCTTCATGTCTCCTTCTCTGGTTGTCCTGCCTCCCTCTTTCCTTATAAGGACCCCTGTGAGGATGCTGGGTCCCCTCCTATCCTCCAAATAACCCAAGCTAATCTCACTACCTCAAGATCCTTAACTTCACCACGTCCATAGAGTCCCCTCTGCTGTGTAAAGTGACACATTCCCAGGTTCTAGGGATCAGGACGTGGATGTCTTTTAGAGGCCATGACTCTGTCTATCACGATTGGCTAAGCTCTTCGTTGGCCGGGCATCCATGAATCCTCACCTCACAACTACCTTAGAAGGAAGGGCCTGTTACTCTCCCGGTGTTACAGATGGGCAAAGAGGCTCAGACACGTTAAAGAAATAGCTCACATGTCACACATGGCTAATGACGGAGAGAAATTTGACCCAGCAGCTGCCTGCCTACAGCCCCACACTCCTTCTCAACTCCCCTATTCCAACCCTCGAGGTAAAAAGCCAACATCTTTACCTTTCCCACGTGACAAAGCACAAGGCTCAATCTGTATTGTGAGTGAATGATTTTTTTTTGCATACATTAACTACTTGTACTTTAAACACGCACATGTGTTTCTTCTTTGTGTATTTCTTGTATTTCTTCTTTGTGATAAAGAATTTCCGGCCACAGTGTTCACATATCGAGACAACCCAAACATCCATCAATTTATGAGCGGACATGCAGCATATGGTGTACCCATGTGATGGAATAGAAAAGGCTGACCCACATGACAACACATAGGAATCTCGGGTGTATGCTCGGTAAGAGAAATCAGACACAAAGGTCATAGCGTATGATCCTGTCTATGTGAAAGGTCCAGAACATACAAATCTACAGTGACAAAAAGTGGATCAGTGGTTGCCGGGGGGGCAGCTTGGGCAGCGGAGGGAACAGGGAGTGACTGTTGAATGGTGATGGGGTTTCTCTGGGCGATAAAAATGTTCTCGACTAGTGGCAGTGACTGCAGAACGCTGTCAAGATGCCAAGACCCACTGAATTGTACGCTTTACATGGCTGAGATGGTGAATTTCATGGTATGTGAATTTTATCTTAAAAAAAAAAATTGGGGCGCCTGGGTGACTCAGTCGTTAAGCGTCTGCCTTCGGCTCAGGTCATGATCCCAGGGTCCTGGGATCGAGCCCCGCATCGGGCTCCCTGC